TGAAAGGTATGGGTCGGTTAAAGCACCAGGGCCTGATGGCTTCAACCAGTGTTTACCAACAATGTTGGGATATTGTTGGGGAGTCGGTAACGCGTTTCGTGCTGGAGTGGGGTGTGTCCGGGAATCTACCAGCGGCTACAAATGATGCTCTACTTGTGTTGATTGCAAAAGTGGCGAAACCAGAGCGGATCACGCAATTTAGGCCAGTGAGCTTATGTAATGTCTTGTTTAAGATTATTACTAAGATGATGGTGAATCGGTTGAAGAATGTTATCTCTAAGCTCATCGGTCCGGCCCAGTCCAGTTTTATACCGGGAAGATTGAGTATAGATAATATTGTGTTGGTGCAGGAGGCGGTTCATTCTATGAGGAGGAAAAAGGGGCGTAAGGGCTGGATGTTGTTAAAGTTAGATCTTGAGAAAGCCTATGACCGAATTAGGTGGGATTTTCTGCAGGAAACTTTGGAGGCTGCGGGGTTGGCTGAGGGATGGACCAGCAGGATTTTGGCTGGGGTGACAGACCCGTCAATGAGCATCTTATGGAATGGGGAGAGGACTGATTCGTTTATACCGGCTCGTGGATTACGACAGGGTGACCCTCTTTCGCCATATTTGTTCGTGCTCTGCCTTGAGAGGTTGTGCCATTTAATAGAAGCGTCGATTGGGAGGGGAGACTGGAAACCAATAGCTATATCGCAAAGGGGACCGAAATTGTCACATGTTTGTTTCGCGGATGATCTGATTCTATTTGCAGAAGCGTCAGTATCGCAGGTACGGGTGATTAGGAGAGTATTGGAACGGTTCTGTGAGGCATCAGGGCAAAAAGTCAGCTTAGAAAAGTCGAAGATTTTTTTCTCTAATAATGTAAGCAGAGATATGGAACGACTGATCAGTGAAGAAAGTGGAATTGGGTGCACCAGGGAGTTGGGGAAGTATTTGGGATTGCCAATTCTACAAAAAAGAATGAATAAGGAGACTTTTGGTGAAGTCTTGGAACGAGTATCTTCTAGGTTGGCGGGATGGAAGAGTCGTTCTTTGAGCTTGGCAGGTAGAATAACTCTGACTAAAGCAGTTTTGTCATCTATCCCTGTGCATTCTATGAGTGCAATTTTGTTGCCTGCCTCTACGCTGGAAAGCCTAGATAAACTGTCAAGGAATTTTCTGTGGGGGAGCACCATGGAGAAGAAGAAACAGCATTTACTCTCATGGAAAAAGGTTTGTAGACCGAAAGCAGAAGGTGGGCTAGGTTTACGGCCTGCGCAGGACATGAACAAGGCTCTTGTAGCGAAGGTGGGCTGGCGCCTTATCCAAGATAAGACTAGCTTGTGGGCAAGGGTGCTAAGAAGTAAGTACAAAGTAGGTGATGTTCAGGATCCCAGGTGGCTGAAGGCCAAGAGCAGCTGGTCATCTACTTGGCGGAGTATCGGGGTAGGGCTGAGGGAGGTGGTGGCTAGGGGCATTGGCTGGGTTCCTGGAGATGGGAAGACTATTCGATTCTGGGCTGACCGCTGGCTATTAGAGAAACCACTGCTTGAGTTTGTAACGGGCACGCTACCGGATGACGAGAAGGCTAAGACAGCGGAGAGGTACTGGACGTTGGGATCGGGTTGGGACATGGTAAAGCTGCGCCATTTCTTGCCACTAAGCATCACAAGAAGATTGTTTTCTGTGGTGTTGCATGATTTTCCAGGGACGAGAGATGAGCTGTCTTGGAAGGGTCACCCGGATGGGCAGTTTACAGTTAGATCAGCGTACGCGTTACTAAAACCCGAGATGGAGGACAGGCCGTGTATGGAGAGATTCTACAAGAGGTTATGGAGGTTGGTAGCACCGGAACGGGTTCGGGTATTCATCTGGTTGGTGTCACATCAGGTGATAATGACTAATGTTGAGAGAGTACGGAGACATGTAGGGGAGAGTGCGGTATGTCCGGTATGTAATGGGGCGGATGAGTCGATTATACATGTGTTGAGGGACTGTCCGGCGATGTCGGGACTGTGGCGAAGGCTACTTCCCCCGAGGAGACATGATTTGTTTTTCCAGAAGTCTTTGTTGGAATGGGTCTTTGACAATCTGGATCCTGCTAAGGATAACTGGCCAACGATGTTCAGTATGGCGGTTTGGTGGGCCTGGAAGTGGAGGTGTAGGGATGTCTTTGGGGAACGGAAACTATGCAGGGATAGGTTAAAGTTCATTAAAGATTTGGCGGATGAAGTGCGCAGGGCGCATGCGGGGACCTTGAACAGTTCGCAGCCACATGCACGAGTGGAGAGGTTGATTCGGTGGCTGGCACCAAATGAAGGATGGGTGAAGATTACGACTGATGGTGCGTCCCGTGGGAACCCCGGACTGGCTGCCGCGGGAGGGGCAATCCGGAATGCGGATGGAGAGTGGCTTGGCGGGTTCGCTATTAATATTGGCTCATGCTCTGCGCCATTGGCTGAATTATGGGGTGCATATTATGGTTTGCTTATTGCATGGGATAAGGGCTTTCGACGGGTAGAGTTAGACTTGGATTCTGAGTTGGTGGTTGGATTTCTGAAGTCAGGAATGAGTAATGCTCATCCGCTGGCGTTCCTGGTACGTTTGTGCCACGGCTTCTTCACAAGGGACTGGTTAGTCCGGATTAATCACGTGTATAGGGAAGCTAACCGTTTAGCTGACGGGTTAGCGAACTATGCTTTCACACTACCTTTAGGTTTACATTTATTTGAGACGTGCCCAGAGGCGGTCCTTTTGATTTTGTTAGAGGATGCCAACGGGATAGCGCTTCCAAGAGCTGTTAGGTTGTAATCTTTTGTAGTTTTCATTAATAAAATGCGGGAGGCATTTGTCTCCCCTCCGCCTACCAAAAAAAAAAGTTTCACTAGCTTAGAGAAATTGTAAAACATGACAAATATTTTGTGGAGCAAAGTCAAAGTTTAGTGGGAACAAATTAGAGATCAGACTAAAACATATTTGATAGTCTGATAGATGGAATAAAGAAACACACGGGGATACTTGGCATGAACTAGCGTGCATCAGGAATATGTTCAGGACCAAAGCTTGTGCTCGGTTCAAAAGAACTTTTAGAGTCCACATCATGTCTCCCTCCTTTCCTTGAGTTCTCAGATAAGAGACACTCTTTTAGTTCATTAGCAACCTGGGACATGTTTGGTCTTCCAGATGAAGATGGACTAACGCATGACATTGCTAGCTCAAGAGCCTTCCACAATGAACTAGTGTCATAATCCTCATTCAGACTTGGATCCACAATATTTTTGATATCTCCATTGGTTAACTTAAATCCCACCCATTCTCTTATGTGAGACTTTTCACGAGTTTGGTCAATCACTGGCTGACTTGTGATGATTTCCAGTAATACGACTCCAAAACTAAAGACATCGCTCTTCTCTGTCAACCAGTTTGTTCGATAATATCTATAATACAAATGAATTAAAAAATTATCATATGGAAAAAAGGAAGATATAATTTACGTTCATTAAGTTGTGTGATAGACCACTTACTCAGGGTCAAGATAACCTGGAGATCCAGCAACATTTGTTGATACATGAGTTTCACTTCCCACCGGAAAAGATCTTGAAAGCCCGAAATCACCAAGTTTAGCATGGAAATGATTATCAAGAAGTATATTCATAGATTTGATATCTCTATGAATCATTGGTGGTTTGCAGCCGATATGTAAGTACTCCAGTCCTATATAATACACAACTCATAAAAGGTTTATTTCACACTCACCAAGAGAAGTGAATTGTTTACCATATTACAAAAAAAACTTAGAACGAACCTTGTGCTGTCTCTGCAGCAATTCTTAGCCTATTTTCCCAACTCAAAGGGGAGCTAGCATTTTCTCCTGTACTCATAAAGGTGTGTGTATGTTAATTGTTAAAAATGACACACGATCATTTTTTTGTAAACAAATCAGGTAATCAAGGATACCAGATAGATGTTGTTTTAAGTTTCCATTGGACATGTACTCATAGATGAGGACCAAGTGCTGTCCTTCGTCACAATAACCAACAAGAGTTACCAAATTTATGTGGTGTACTCTGAGAAGAAGGTCTACCTATCAAACCACAAGTAACCCCAGAAGGTGGTAAATCATATATACATTTTCTTTGAGTATGTGAATAAAGATAACATTAATTAATTATGGTGAAAGTACCTCAGCTCTAAATTGCTTATAGCCTTGAGCTGAGGATTCAGAGAGCAACTTAACAGCCACTTGTTCGTTGCCATTTAAATTACCGTGGTAAACGACTCCAAACCCTCCTTCGCCAAGAGTTCTCTCAAAGTTATTTGTAATCACTGCAACCTCTTCATAAGTAAAGCTTCTCTTGTTCGCCACCATTGATGGGCGTAGTGCTGGAAATTATAATCATGCACACATCATATATTTAAGTCCAAGTTAATTGAGTTTTTATTTGTCCTCAAGCTTACCTTTCTGTGGCCTCTTCTTTCTAAAGAAGAGAATGATGAGAAGAAGCACAGCTGTAATAATACCAACAGAAGCAGCTGATGCAAGAATAGGTACTAGCAATTTCTTTATGTTGTTTCCATGACCAGCTTCACTTTCGCACGATGGATCCAAACAGAGGTTTGGATTTCCATTAGCGCTATTAATTTCTCACAATTTTTTTTTTCCGATGTTAATAAATATATAAAAGGGGGTTGGATAGAATCATAGAAAAAATAGGCTGGAAGAAAAAAGGGACACATACAGCAACGTTAGCCCATTGTTTGCCATGTTACGAAGGCTTTGAGGAATTGAGCCGCTAAGATTGTTCCCACTCAAGTTTCTGTGCAATGTATATAAAACGTTATTAAATGCATCCATTTAAAGATTTAAAACCCAACTATTCGTCGTTTTACTTCCAGGGGAACTTACATGACTGTCAACAACTTCATTTTGCCGAGAAATTCAGGCACCTTTCCCGTCAAGTTGTTATTTGACAGGTCCCTATAACATACATATAAATAATGTCATGGTTATCAAACAAAGGTATCAAAATACATGTTTCCTTCTTTGAGTATATATATAGGAGATATATGAGACTTACAATTTCTGTAGTTGGTTAAGATATTGTATATCCCTTGATATGGTCCCATTTAATCCAAAATTAGAAAAGTCTCTGGGTATAGACCAGGACACATTTAAGATACATTGGAAAAAACAAACTAATCATTTTGAACAAGAAAACTTGAGTGTAATGATCTTACAAGGAAGTAATTCTTGGTGGAGTAGACGGAAACATGTTGCTGCAGTTTAGACCAGTCCACATATATTGTATAGGTACACATGGATCTCCTTGCCAGTTCGTTTTTTGTAATCTATAAGTGGCTTGAATGTTCTTCAATGTAGTGACTGGGAATTTAAAGTTTCAATGTTTTTGAATAGTTAAACCTCATGAACAACCAAAAAGCTAGGGTTTATATATCTACATAATAATTAAGTACAGTTGACAAACCGTCGTTTTTATCTGTTTCGGACTGAAGAAGCTGGAGTACCCCGAAAACCTCTATGGCATTACAAGATGGTGGAAGAGTTGACGACTTAGTTCTTGTAAGATCTAGGGAGCAACTAACATCGCATTTAGTAGAGGTTCTGATAGGTACAGTGTCAGCCATGAACTCTAGAGGACTGTAGTCATCACTAATTTTTGTGTTTTCATTCCACAAAATACTAAACTCTCTGCTATCACTGGGCTTCAAGGCCTGGATCTCGGCAAAGTGAAGGTACACGTGAACGTCGTCGTCCGTGTTTTGCATCAACCAGAAATTGCTCCATGACTTACCAGCACCTTTGGGTATAGAAGCCTTTGAAATTATAGCTTGTGGCAGATCGAAGGCATTAGCGGTCGTATTTACAGGAGTGGTGGTGTTTATTGCTATCCATTCATCATCGTTAAAGTATACGTCCCATAAACGATCATGGACATCATCTGGATACCTAACACAACGATGTATTATCGATAGACAAGTCAGTGGTAAATGTCAGCGTATTACCACTTTCCACAAACTAACTTTTTAGCAAAAAAAAAAAAAAAAGTTCATAATAGGAGCTCCTAAACAATATTATAAGAACGTAGGAACTTTTTATTAAGAAAAGAAGTTTCTGATAGTATTATAAATATGTCTCACATTTTTTTTGGTCAAACCAAAATTTATCAAACATTTATGTTTTCATTTTGGAAAATAAAACTAAAAAGGTAAAAAGATAAGATGCTATGTCTTTTAATCTAAAAGTAATATAATATACTCCTTCCCTATCATCATTTAAAGTGATGTTTTAATAATTTTTATTTGTTTCATTTTAGATGATGGTTTCAATTTTATATACAAAAATTAAATGTATTTAATTATTTTTTACCAATCATAGTTTACAAAAAAAAATTTAATTAGTTGAATTCATTTTGTTTAATATTTTTTATGTAAAAGAGGTAAATTAAATAAAATAATATGTTTTCTTAATTTATGTGTAAAAACTTTAAACATCACTTAAAAATGGTATAGAGAGGATATATCTTTTAAAGGAGTTATTTTCTGGCCCCCAACCAGTTCCGGCCGCCAACTGAAAGGAAGCCTTTATATGTAGTTGTTTTCATCTTTATCGTATCGATTCTTATTGTTTTTTTTTTTTTTTGAATAACCGCGGGTCTCCTAAAGGCTTCCTAGGCCCAATGACTAATCTCACGAGGTTGGCAATTCCCCTATGTAAATCTGCCAGTGGCCGTGCCTCGAACCCTGGTGGCGGAAGTCACAGCTGTGACCCCTTTACCACTATGCCACAAGGCCCGGTTTCTTATTGTTTTTACACTAGCTAGTAACTAAAAAGATAGGATGAGTTGACTTACCGTATGATGGATTCAGGACTGCTGAAGGAGTTATGATTGCTGAAATACCGGCGGGTGATTAGCTTTAGAGAGCCGGTTGTAGTAGTATAGGTGTCATCTCTCAAGGGACGTAGTTCCAAGGCTGATATGAATGGCGTCGTTGTTCCTGTCTTAACTAGACATATATCCAAAGTGTTTGACTTTGGCATGTGGATGATCTCCTCTATGGTACCATCTTGTAACGAAATCCGTTCTATATTACCAAATATATCTTGCAAATTTATAGTTGCCCAGAAGTTAGGGCCAAGATGAAGATCAAATATTGGTTTTTTCTGAGGGTCATCATAATTTGCATATAAGAACACGGCTCTAATAAGATAATGTGTGCCCTGCATGACAGTCAGATTATAGCAGTTTCGTGTTCCTTCCGGAAAATACCTAAGCTGCTTATATGGCTTTATGTATTTCACGCCATAACCAGGATCCTCGGTCTTGATTGTACCACTTTCTCCGCTGCTAATGAAATCAGCGTCGGATGAGAAATTCAAACCTGTGTACTCGTCGGTATAACTAGACTCGTTACGGGGCATTCCACAATCTAAGCTGATGAATCCTGGTACGAGTCATGGAAAAAATAAACGGAAAATTATATCTTCTGCAAATATGGAAGTCCAAAGATTTCCATAATATAGTAACACTAAAGTTAGCAATATAAGTGAACATTGGTTAGGTTCAAAGAAACAACAACAAATAAAAGAAGAAGAATGAATATTATACGTGCAGAGGATTGTATAACCGTAAAATACCTTGTTGATCTTGAGCATTAACGATAGTAATGAAAGAAATCCCTATTAGGGCCAAGAAAATAAGCCTGCGAATACTCTCCATTTTCAAAAGTTAAGATAACAAGCAACTACAAATATTCTGATATAAAGCTATTTATAACATAAAAAGAAGAAATTTAGGAAAGAGGGTTTATCAGCTTAATGTTGAAATTGTCACCTCAAGGTTGACACTGATTAATATAACAAATAAATAAAATACTTGCATTTGCAAAAGAAGAGGCCAAATTGGGTAAAGTTTAATGATATAAGATTCCCCTCCAGGTTGGTGGTGTGTAGAATTTACCCCATATATACCTGCCGTTCGGAGTTTGGAGCACGTCTCTCTTATTCATGTATGTGTCACACACTCATATTTTATGGTATAAAATGTTACATGTGAAATGAACCCGTCAAATTTGGAGCTTGTTTGATGAGAACTAAATGGTCCTGAATATGTTCTTGGTGTTGCAGCTGTTTGATTCTCAATCGGTGGTGATATGATGAAATCTTCCCGGTCATAGTGTTTGGAGATGTTATTCTTTCACTAACAAGAAATTGTGGATAGTGTTTGGAGATGTTATCCTTTCACTAACAAGAAATTGTGGATAATGAAGATTGAGTTTTGGTTACACCATTCTTATGATTACGTCTATTGAAGTCTGTATCCTTTTATATATAAAGTCACTTGATTACATCGACAACTCTTGTAAACTGTATCAAATTACCATAATAATACTTATTGAACTGTAATGCTGTAATAAATCAATTCCTTTCTATAACCTAATCTCTCAATAAACAATTTTGGAACAAGTTTAAAATTAAAACTCCTTTTTTTGGGGGGGTCTTTAAGAAGAAGCATATCCATGGGGATGAGTCTTTTGCCACTTCCAAGCGACTTCAAGACTTTCTTGAAGATTAGTGTAACGAGCAGACCAATTCAGATCTCTCAGAATCTTTGCTGGATCACTGTAAACCTCTGCGTAATCTCCAGGTCTTCGAGGCAAGAAATCTACTTTGATATCTACTCCTGTTGCTTTCTTACAAGCTTCCACAAACTCCTTCACCGATCTTCCTTTTCCGGTACCTACATTGTAGATTCCGACATTTCTTGGCTTAGCTTTCTCGAGAGCCTTCACGTGAGCATCTACAAGGTCAGTAACATCAATGTAGTCACGAACACAAGTTCCATCTCCTGTTTTGTAGTCTGTTCCTTTGACCTGCAGTTTGAATCCATTTTTTCATTTATCAGAGTTGAGTGAAGAAGAAGCATAAGAGAGTTTGAGAGACGAGTGTGTTTTATTTACCTGCAGGCCTGGAATCACGCCACGAGCTGCATCGAAACAAGCACCTGAAATCCGCCCATGTTCGCGTAGCTCTGGTTTTGGAGCTTCTCCTAGTCTACCTTCTGGGTCTGAACCGATCACATTAAAGTATCTGTGACAGTCATAAAGATCATCAGACATTGTTTGCTTGATCAAATCAGAATCAGAGACTTGTTAAGTCTTTCAAGAAATGTGGAGCTTGACCTTAGGATCATGACTGCCATGTCAGAGTTTTTAGAGAAATCCAGGATCATATCTTCAGCCATCTTCTTAGCTTTTCCATAAGGGTTAATCGGGACCTGAAAATCGATAATTTCAAAATTTGATGAGACATGTTCATGCGAAAGAGAGGGTTTTCTAAAACTGTTTTGAGTACCTGTGGAGTAACTTCAACAATAGGCATCTTGTCAGGTTCTCCATAAGTGGCACATGTGCTTGAATATATCAACTTCTTTACTTTATGTCTAGCCACAGCTTCAAGAACTACTAATGTGTTTGATGTAATGTTGTGGTAATACCTACATAACAAAAATCGAAATGAGATTGATTAACCACAAAGAACTCCAATCTTGCAGAGGTCTTATGAACAAAACAGTGGCTGGAGATTGTACTTTAGAGGATCTAGAGTGCTCTCTCCAACATATGCTACCGCAGCAAAATGCATAACAGCATCAAACGCATTCTCTGAGAAGATTTTATCGACCTGAAACGAACAAAACCATACTTAATACAAAATACCAGGAAAAAAAATTGCTCAAAAGAATCTTAAGGATATGAAGCATTACAGCTTTGGCATCTCCTAAGTCAGCATAAATAAATTGAAGCCTCCCGGCTTCTGGGAACAATCCCTGTAAAACCTTGACAGCGCCAAGATTCCCGCGAGAAAGATTGTCCTGTTTGTGAGACAAAATGATTAGTGTTACAAAAACCATGGGTTGGTGCAGTTTGACAACTTTTCTCTCCAGTGGATTGCCAAATACAATCAAAGAAAGAAACTTTACCAGAATGGTTACACGGTATGAATCCTTTAAGAGCCTCAACGCAGCATGTGATCCGATATATCCAGCGCCACCAGTGACTAACACATGAGTCACGCCTTCCTCGCTGCGAGAAAACTGAGGAAACCAACAAACCACAGCAAGACTTAGATTACAGAAACATCAACTAAAAGAACCATTTCAAGAGCCAGATTCAGGAGAAATGTTTGCAGACATTATAAAAAAAAAAAAGCGTAACAGATCAAAGATTCAGGCAAAAAGGAACTTGGAGTTACCGCGGTTGGTGATGTGAAACTCGGTGCATGCTTGAGCATAATAATGCATAGCGCAGTAAGAGAAACTACCAAGATAAGCTTGCCCATGACATTGCTCTTCCTTTTGGGTTCCAAGTATTCCATCCCTGAATTTTCAAAATCAAAGAAAACGATTGATCATCTATAATGTTGCACTCAAATATATATATAAATGTTGTGATTCAAGACTAACCACCTCCAAGAGGTCTCGTGTTTCTTCCTTGACTTCTAGCTCTAGAGAAACTTAGCATTGGAGATTCAGAAGAATCTGAACTCAAATCACCTCAGAGTAGTCTTTATGTTATTTGGTATTATTGAGACAAAACTCCAGAAACAAACTCAAGATTCAGTAGCCAGCAATCATCAAGTTAGCTGCAGATTACTGTTTAGAGAAAAAGAGAAATAATTTGAATGAATACAAAAGTCAAAACCATATACATTCACATAAGCAAATAAAATAATATTTGTTGGAAAGTGGGACCTTAATGAAAGAATCAAAAACAAGGAAAGAGACAGACAAAAGTTGAATACATTTATGAAAAAATAAGATAAAAGTTCAATTATTTATTAATTTATATGTTAATTGCAAAGAGAAAAAAGTTCTTAGGCAGAGAGCATGTTTGTCACAGAACAGAACAAAAGAACATAGAAACAAAAAATGCAGAAAGAGTCTGTGTTAAAGTCGTCGACTTTGATCGAAATTTCTTTGCTTTATCGAAAACCCATCTGAGAAATCACTGATCAGAAGAAACCCAGAAACGTTTCAATCCCCAATTTTGTATCGATTCAAAAATTTTGATCAGAATCAAAATTCGTTTCAAAAGTAGGGGAAAATGCAGAAACAGATCAAAATCAGGTTAAGAATTGGGTAAATAGTAAGAAACAATACATAGATAAGAGAGAAGTACCTGAGAATTTTCGAGAAACGAATTGAGAGAGAGGAGGAAGAAGAAGAAGAGGTTGTGTGATGGTTGAAATGGAGAAAGACGCGACGTTATTAAGGGAGAGAAAGAGAGACTTTTGGGAGAGAAAAAGAAAGAGAAAGAGAAAGAGAGAAAATAGAGGAGAAGCGGAGGAAGAAGAAGAAAGTGAGGAGCGAAGAAAGAAGAAGAAACGTGCAATGCAAAACCAAACCACAACTACGAGACCTGGTCTCCACTCTCCTTCCTTCTTATTTAGCTCTTTCCTTTTTTTCGGGAAAGAAAACAAAATTATAAACCAGTCCTTCAACTTTCACAAAATTTATTTTTAAACCCTCAAGTTCTTTTATTAAATCTAAACCCTTTAATTTGTTCATTTCCATGAATTGTGAAAGATTTTTTTTACAAAAATGGTGTTGACTAAACTAGATAAAGAAGATTTTGTAGTAAAAATGACTCACTGTTGATAAATGTGACTACAATCAAAGTCAAAACATTACAACTGATGATGATGTTACAATAAATATGACTTCTTATATAGTTTATACGTTTTCATCTCCCATAAGTATGAAATTTGTGAAAATAAAAGAAGGAATGACCAAACATGAGAATGTCATTCAGAACCAACCTTGTTTCTAAATTGTTAGGGGTGCGAATGAAACAAATAGTGAGAAATCGTGACTATTAATCAAAGTCAAACAAAAACAAAGTCGTTGTTCCAATGCATGTCGACACAAATGAGTTTCTTCCTTTCATGGATATATATATTAGTTTCGATTAGTTTTTTTTTTTTTTATAATTAGGATGCGATTGCAATGATTGTAATATCAACTACTATGCAATCATTTGTTTGTGATCCTCATTTTTTAATTCTTTAATCAAATTATGGGCAAAAAAAAACAATCGATGGTGATCAAAACAGTTTTGCTGCCTAGTTGTAGCGACTGCCTAACCATCTAACGTGATAAGCCAACGAATCGAGCGTAAACAAATAATTATCCTAAGACTTTGTATATAGAACTAGTAAGTAATAATTTCTCAATATATTTACTAATATACATTCTTTATACGTGAGTGATAATTGAGAGTTTAAACAAATGCAACTTTGTCTTTTTTCTTTTATCTCATACAAATGAATATAGTCATCAAACTGATTAACAAAAATATGGAAAAAAATATCATATCGATCATTTTTGTATCAAGTTTATCAATTTGTATCATTTATTATAAAAAAATGATTGGGAGATGATAAAATGGTCAATCATATGTTTTGTCCTGGTTGTTGAAATTAATTAAATTTCCTTATACGGCCTAATTTTGGTTGACTTTGCTTTTCCGATCTTTTTCCAAACGAAAGGAGACGAAAATATAGACGTCAATATCCGTACCGTAGTCTTGTAGCGTAATAGTAAAAGAGACCCACCTAAGACCTAACCAACCAAATACTATAAAAGTCTCTACTAACTCTAATTTCAGAACGAACCGACTGCTGAATTCTTTGAGTCATTAGGTTACCTACAAGTTTTTGTCTCCTTTGTATTATATCGTAGCCTAGCTTCTAAAAGACTTGCAGCTTCGTTATACTTGGAGAAGTTTTAACATTAAATTCGACGTGAGGATGAGACTGTAGAGACCGGTTCTATAAGCATGTAAGATGTGCATATGTGTTATGTGTATATACACTAGATAGGTTCGGTTAACCAAACCGGAAGCGTTTCTGTAGACTAATTAATTTCCAAATTCCTTTTTGTTGATTTAGGGTTCAATATTTATTGTTTTAAATATTTAACATATAAATATAATTACTGTTAAGTCAGTCTTAATAAAAAAATTGCTATGTTATACGGAAATTTATTACAGGTATTTAAAATATTAATGCAACCAAAAATCAAACCGAACCACATAAAAGTAAATTTTTAAGCTAATGGACTAGCTATATTTAACCTATTTTGTACCTGTAACTGAACCAAACCGAGATTCTTCAAACCAAAGTTACCAAACCCGATAATATAATAAAATCGATTCGAACCAAAGCAAACCGAAAAACCGGGTTTCCACCAGTAGTCCAACCGAAATCTGACCGAAGTGAACTAAAAAACGTCGTCGTTTTCGACATTTAAGATTAGTAGTTCACACACCAGTGAGAGAACAGAGAGAAGAAGATGAACAAGCGAAAATGAAATCACCAAAACCTCCGAATCTCTCTGATAAATCTCTTAAACCCAATTTCTTCTACGGCCACCGTAAACCGTCACAAAACCGCCCAATCGTATACGGTGGTCTCTTCTCAACCCGCCAATCTCTATCCAGAGACTCACCCCAATCTCCATCAAACGCCGTCGCTCACCGAACACCTTTCGATCTCCGCAAATGGGATCCAGAAACCCATCTCCCTTTAGAAAGATCTTCTTCTTCGCCGCCGTCACATTCCACGGTGATCTCCGCCGCCTCCGAACGTCTATCTCCGATCGCGAGATTCGTCCTCGACGCATTCCGCAAGAATCGTAACCATTGGGGTCCCTCAGTAGTCTCGGAGCTAAACAAACTCCGCCGTGTAACGCCGAGTATCGTCGCCGAGGTTTTGAAATTAGGAAACGATGCTACAGCTGCGGCTAAGTTCTTTCATTGGGCTGGTAAACAAAAAGGGTATAAACACGATTTCGCTGCTTACAATGCTTTTGCTTATTGCCTTAATCGAAACGGACATTTTCGTGCTGCGGATCAATTGCCTGAGCTTATGGATTCTCAGGGAAGACCACCGTCGGAGAAACAATTTGAGATTTTGATTAGAATGCACGCCGATAACAGAAGAGGTTTAAGGGTTTATTACGTTTACGAGAAGATGAAGAAGTTTGGGTTTAAGCCTAGGGTGTTCTTGTATAATAGGATAATGGATGCTTTGGTGAAAAATGGTTACTTTGATTTAGCTTTGGCTGTTTATGAGGATTTTAAAGAAGATGGGTTGGTGGAGGAGAGTACTACTTTCATGATCTTGGTTAAAGGGTTGTGTAAAGCAGGTAGAATCGAGGAAATGCTCGAGATTTTGCAGAGAATGAGGGAGAATTTATGTAAGCCTGATGTTTTTGCTTACACGGCAATGATCAAGACTTTGGTTTCTGAAGGGAACTTGGATGCAAGTTTACGAGTTTGGGATGAAATGAAACGTGATGAGATAAAACCAGATGTGATGGCGTATGGAACACTTGTTGTGGGCCTGTGTAAAGACGGTAGAATTGAAAGAGGCTATGAATTGTTTATGGAGATGAAGGGAAAGCAGATTTTGATTGATAGAGAGATCTACAGGGTTTTAATTGAAGGATTTGTTGCGGATGGGAAGGTCAGATCTGCTTGCGATCTGTGGAAGGATCTGGTTGATTCTGGGTACATAGCTGATCTAGGGATATACAATGCTGTTATTAAAGGTTTATGTAGTGTGAATCAGGTTGATAAAGCATATAACCTCTTCCAAGTTGCAATTGAGGAAGAACTAGAACCAGATTTTGAGACTCTAAGTCCCATTATGGTTGCATATGTGGTGATGAATAGACTAAGTGATTTCTCCAATTTGCTAGAACGAATTGGAGAATTAGGATACCCTGTCACAGATTACCTTACACAATTTTTTAAATTGTTATGTGCTGACGAAGAAAAGAGAACGATGGCTTTAGATGTCTTTGATATACTAAAGACTAAAGGTCATGGCAGTGTCTCTGTGTACAACATTCTTATGGAGGTTCTTTACAAGATGGGTGATATTCAAAAGTCCTTGTCACTGTTCTATGAAATGAAGGAATTTGGGTTTGAACCAGATTCATCATCTTACAGTATTGCACTTTGCTGCTTTGTTGACAAAGGGGATGTCCAAGAGGCTTGTTCATGTCATGAAAAAATCATTGAGATGTCTCGTGTTCCTTCCAAAGCTGCTTATCTGTCTCTTACTAAAGGGCTCTGCCAAATTGGAGAAATTGATGCGGTGATGTTATTAGTCCGTGAATGTCTAGGAAACGTTGAAAGTGGTCCTATGGAGTTTAAGTACGTTCTTAGGGTTTGTCATGTATGCAAAGGTAGTAATGCCGAGAAGGTTATGGAGGTAGTAGACGAGATGAACCAGGAAGGTGTCTCTATCAATGAAGTTATATACTGTGCGATTATCTCTGGTATGTCTAAGCATGGAACAATAAAAGCAGCAAGAGAAGTCTTTGCAGAGCTGAAAAAGCGCAAAGTCATGACTGAGGCTGACATGGTAGTCTATGATGAAATGTTAATTGAGCAGACAAAGAAGAAGACAGCTGATTTGGTGCTTTCAGGGATCAAGTTTTTTGGTCTCGAATCAAAACTAAGAGCAAAGGGTTGCAGACTACTCGATAACTAAAGTTTGGGTCTGATAAATCATTTAGCTGCACAGCTGACTAAGAGAATGTGCTTTTGTCCAAACAACTGCATATATACCTTGATGCATGACGATATGCTCGTTTGGGCGTTGGTATTAGTCTGGGTTTGTTAAACCCAACCATGCAAGTTTGGGAGCTCTTCCCACGGATAATTCAAGACCCGCGAAATTGTTTATTTGGGTTCATTCTTCTGATAGCTGAAGCTTGGAAGTGAGTAAATCTTTGGATCCAAGGGAGATGTAGTGAAGCGCCTCACAAGCATTGTGTGGAGAGATACTTACAAATCAATGGTCTGGAGATATCTCAAGTTGTTGGCTCGGATTTTGTGAACCCATAACCCTGATCCCGCTTCCCTCTGTGCTAGTTAGAATGATTAATGGCATTCCTTGTGGTAGCTTTGATGTTGCAGGTTGAAGTTTAGCTAATGTTTCAAATTTCAATATTGAGTCCTTGTAAGGATGTTTAGGAAACTCCCTTTTCACAACAAATGATTTTTAGATTCGTAGTATATTAATCAATGGATAATTCTCACTTACCATAAACTCAGATTTTTTGGTTAAAATTTTGAAATGTCAAGAGATTGGAATAAAGTTGGGGTTTTTTTTTTTTTTTTTTTTGACAGCTAAAGTTGGGGTTTTTATTTCCCAACTTTTTGGAAATGGCAGTTAAGTTCCCGTGTCGATGGCTTTGAAATGTGGTTGCATTTATGATCCATGATCCATCCTTTATATCTTAATCACACATCCGAAAAAAGTATCCATTTTATTCGTTACCCATTTCTTCAATGAACACTCTGGTGAAGAGCGGTGGCGCGTGGCTACTTTCCCCGTCGTTGGCGGTGGTGGCTCTGAGGAAGATGAGAGTGTCTGCTTTAGCCACGTCATCATCATCTTCTTTTCCCAAGTGGGAAGGTGGGGTTTCCATGGTCCAAGGAGCTTCCAGAGGCATCGGCCTCGAATTTGTGAGCCTCTTCTCTCTCTTTCATTTACTGGTCGCTACAAATTTGTGAGCTAATCAACCACTACTCAGAATCTTTAACTTTATCAGTTGAGATAAGAAAGAAAGATCGATATTTGGTTAAGCTTTTTCACCTTTTTCTTTAGGTAAGACAGTTGCTGGGGAACAATGAGAAAGGGTATGTTGTTGCTACTTGCCGAAATCCAAAAGAAGCAACAAGTCTCTCTGATTTGAAGAATCGTTTCTCTGAAAGACTGTTCATCCAAAAGCTTGATGTTACAGATGAAACTACCATTGAGGTTATTGTCTCTACACTCAAGTCTGTCTCCTTTCACTAATCAACAACAAATGCTCCATGTTCACGTTTCTGAAACTGTTAAATCTGGTTATTAGGAATCAGCGGAATCTGTGAGAGAAAGATATGGTTCTCTCAACCTTCTTATAAATGCAGCTGGTATACTCTCCATTCCTAGCGTATTGCAGCCAGGTACGACTGTATGAGTAACCTAACATTTGAATACCAATCAATTACATCGTGATTCTTTCTTACTCTTGCGTTAGAGAAATTAGTTTCAGTTCTATCTACAATTTGGGGTAACTAATGAAGCCTGTGAAAATAAAGGACTCTTCTTTAATCCCCAGTTTTTATTTTCCCTTTTGATCTCAGTACAGAAACAACATTGAACAAGGTTGAAAAATCATCGTTGATGCTTGCTTACGAGGTTAACGCTGTTGGTCCAATCCTAGTGATGAAGGTAAGCTCTCCCAGTTCTCTGTTTTTGTCAAGAACACTGCCCTTATACGAAAACAGAGTGAGAAATGGAGGAAAGTGGGTAAAGAAAACTTGAGAGCAAATCTAAGTTATGTGTGTCCTTGTTTTGCTTACTCATGGACATGGTCTCTATGACTCTGAATGATAAAAGATTCTGTCTTTGGCTGTGTTGCAGCATATGTGGCCACTCCTTAAGGCTGGTGGAGGTAGTGGAACTGAGAGGGAAGTTGCTGTTGTAGCCAATTTAAGCGCCCGCGTTGGATCCATTGGAGATAACCGACTTGGTGGTTGGCACTCTTACAGGGCTTCAAAAACAGCACTCAATCAACGTACAATTGAATAATAAGTTTTAGAAGATTCTTGACTTTTCCATCTGGTATGAGCTGAAAAAACCATTAATTTCTGTTCACAACTGTTGCTTTTGCAGTGACGAAAAATGTATCGGTTGAGTTAGGTAGGAGGAAAGATCCTGTGGTATGCATTCTACTGCATCCAGGCACAGTAGACACTGATCTCTCTCGGCCGTTTCAAAAGAATGTTCCTGAAGGAAAACTTTTCACAAGAGAGTACTCTGTTCAGAAGTTATTGCACATCATCAACAATGCTAAGAAACAAGATAACGGCAAGTTCTTTGCTTGGGATGGCCAGGAGATACCTTGGTGACTTCTTGATTGGTTTTCTCGATCCGACTGGTCAGTTCTTTAAAATTCTATTGAATTCTTGTCGGGTTTTTTTGTTCACTTTCTTGGTTTGAGAGCAATTCCTTGGAGCAATATCGAATAACTTGGAGTGAGCATCCAGAAGCTGAGAGCTTTCTGAGTATATTATAATAATAATCAATGTGATGGTATAAACTTCTATCTACATTGTGTATTACTACATAATTTTACATGCTATTTTCGAAATCCCGAGTCCAAATCATTGCCATATGTGATCCAGCTATGACCTGGAGTTTTATGAACTCTGTTCTTGTTCATTAATTCTTGAAGAGCTGCAGCGTCATCCCACTGTCTGACTGAACTATATGTGTTGCTTAGCAGCACATATGCTGCTGAGTTCTGAGGATCCAGATGCATTAGTTTCTCTGCAACTCGTCTAGCCAAGCTCACATCGCCATAGACTCTACATGAACTAAGTAGAATCTCCCATAGAACAGAGCTGCTTTTGTATGGTGTAGCTTCTGCAAGCGTCTCTGCATCTTCAAGACGACCAGCTCTTCCAAGACAATCAACTATACAGATGTAATGATCCAGCTCCGGTTCAATTCCATGATCTCTCTGCATTGAACTGAGTATCTCAAGCCCTGTATCCACCAGTCCTGAGTGGCTGCAAGCAGTCAAGACAGAGACAAAGGTTATCCCGTCGGGTTTCTCTCCCGCTGATATCATCTCTCTGTATAGATCAACAGCTTCATCGCCTCGCCCATTATGAGCATACCCATGTATCATCTCATTCCAAATAACCGTGTTTTTCCTCGAAACAGTATCAAAGAACTGTCGAGCTGATTCTATTTCACCGCATTTGCAATACATATCAGTAACAGCTGTTTCAACAAAGGAATCGCTTACATATCCGCTCTTCACTACCTGTCCATGAAACTGTCTTCCATGGACCAAACTACATAACCTTGAACAGCTACCTAATACAATAGCATATGTAGTTTCATTAGGTAACAACACACTAGTCTGATGCATTCTTCTGAAGAGCATTAGAGCTTTTGTGTCCAGTGTGTTGCGTCTAAGACCTGAGATCATCGAGTTCCAACAAGCGATATCCAATTCGTTTATACAATCATCAAAGATACATTCACAGATCTCCATTTTCTCGCATTCCGAATACACTGCAATAAGACCACTAACTATGTGACTGTCCTCAGAAGTCTCGGTCCTTATCGCTACCCCATGGATCTGTTTCCCTCCTTCCAGAAATCTCAATCTCGCACACGAACTTAGTATCACACTCAAAGTGGTTCTGTCAGGTTTCAGGTTCTGAAACTGCATTTGTCTGAAATTGTTTATTGCTTCCTCATAGTGCTCATAGTTAGAATAACCAGAAAGCATAGCATTCCATGCGCTAACACTTGGCTGGGGAATGGTATTGAATATTCTCCTACCGGTTTCAACATCTCCTGAACGAAAGCACGCTCCAAGAATACTAATGCAAGTAACTTCGTTTGGTTCAAAACCAGAATCTCTCATTCTCTTTAGATATTCAATGGATTTGTCACTTCGATATTCCTGGCCAAACCCAGCTATCATAATGTTCCAAGAGACAACATTCACTTCAGGCATCTCAGTAAAAATCAGCTCTGCGCCATTCATGTCTTTATTCTTTGCATATATTTCGAGCAACGAATTGTTCAGATGAAGTTCTCCTACGAACCCACGTCTTAACGCAAGACTATGGATCTGTTTCCCGAGCACATTGCCATAGATTTCACTCAGGCTATCACATCCTTCTCTTGGAACAGAGATGCTGAGAATATTAGATAAGCAAACACAATCCACCTGCACACCTTTCTCACACATCAATCTGAACATGTGAACTGCCTCCAACACTTTATTTTCCCGAGCTAACCCGCTGATTACCGTCGTAAAAGAGACTTCATTAGGTTCAGAGAGAGATTCAAACACTCGAACACCATAATCAACCATAAACCCGCACTTTGCATACATAGACAACAACGCATTGCCAACAAAAATATTCTTATCAAGCCCCGTTTTAACAGCAACCCCGTGACATCTCATACCGATAACACCATCCTGAACCTTGCTACACGCGCTCAAAACACTAGCTAACGTGAACCGAGAAGGCAAAAACCCATCACCAACCATCCTCCCATAAACATCCAAAGCCTTCTCCTCAAACCCCTTCCTCACCAATACACTAATCATATTATTCCACGACACAACATCTCTCTCAGGCATTCCATCAAACACCTCACACGCTTCCTCCAAATCCCCAACTTTACATCTAAACGTCAAAAAAGCATTCCAAGAATAAACATCTCTCAGAGACATTTCGTCAAACAGCTTCCGTGCATAATCTCCATCGCCAAACTCAATATACAAATCCAGTAAACGATTACATAGATAAGTATCACTGTTTAATCCCGTCCTAACAATGAACCCATGTATAACTTTCCCCGAAAGTTTACACCTTTCATCTCTGTAACAACGCAAGAGACTCGCTAAATACTTATTGCCTCCACTACGCATTTTTTTTTTACTTAAAGAAGCTGTGGAATATTGTTTATATAGGTGATAATATGAGGTTTGGTACGAACTTTTCTTGCTAAATCCACTAAGCATCTCCCTCAAGAGTAGAAAAAGTTTATTTGTTTATAATGTTTAAATCAATCATTAGATAAATTGAGAAAAATACAAATTTAAAAGACAAAAAGTAAAATAATAATCTTGGGGAAAAAATTGTTTCTTGAGAATCAAGAAGAAGGGATGACAACAGTACGCATCATGTTCTTGAATTCAAAAAAGTCAACGCGACCATCTTGATTCCGGTCAACGGAAACGATCATCTTCTCCACTCTCTCCATCTCTCCACCTTCAGGTAACCCAAGTTTCTTCAAAACCGCTTGTAATTCCCTAGCGGAGATGAATCCATCACCGTTCTCATCGAAAACCTTAAACGCCTCAGCGAGATCCGATTCATCCTCGGCGGAGGAAGAAGAATCTTCATTCTCTTCTCCACAAGCTCCACCGAAGAAAGAATCGTCGAGTGTTTTGTGAAGAGAAGAGAAATCGTCGAAATTGAGACCAGTGTTACCTGGTTGAATGTATGATTCAACGGTGGATTTGAGATCGGAGAGATCAGCGTTGAGACCAAGACGTGATAAAGCTTGGCTTAGCTCTTCAACGGTTATGAATCCGTCGCCGTTTTTGTCGAATAAGTCGAAGATTCGTTGGAGACGAAGTGCGTTTAGGCTTGGGCTTCGTAGTCTGAAGGATGATGATTGTCTTGAAACTTTCTTCTTCTCGTTGTTACACTCCATTGTCTTAGAGTTTGTGTTCTTCTTCTTTCTTCTTGGTTTGTGGGATTATAATCAGAGATTGAGAAAATGGAGTCTAATTATAGAAGAGAAGAGAAACAATTGGGGAATTGATAAATTTTTATGGGAAGGAGTCCGTTTTTGCCGGCATTGACTTTGTCTGGCCCGCCATGTATGAACTTGGAGCATCAAACCCATAATTCATATTAATGTGAAAATAAAAATGTCGCCTTTTTGTGATCTGTCGAATAATATTTGAGTATTTGACAATCACAAGAATAAAAATCTAGTTTTTTTTTTTCTTTTTTCTTTTGGGTAATGATAAAAATGTAGTTTTTGTTATAAAAGTCGTGAAAAGGAGGAATCGTAAAGTCGCAAAAGATGCGCACATGGGTTAAACGTTTCGTTATTTATTAATTTATGTGGAGCCCACCGTCACTATGCACGCATAGTAATTTACTTTTTTACGCCTATATAAACGAACGAATTCGTTCGATGTAAAATCACAATTCATTACTTCAATTACAAGAGAAGTAATAATCTCTTTCCCTCTCATCTCTTTATTTTCAGTATCCCGATCCTTCTGCGGGTATAATTCTTTCTCCATTATTTATATTTATATACACCAAATAATAAAGTAATTATTATAACACGTTATCAGCACGATCACTCTATGATCGCTGAAAAAAAAAATACGGTATTATACCGGACAGTATGTCGCCTCGTTAAAAGAAAAAATATGAGAAAAAAAAAAGGAGAAAAGAAAATTATATAAATAAATAAAAGAAACTATATGGTTGGCTGAGCCACCTGAAATTACTTCATGCACCATAATTAATTATTTTCTGTTAATGGTTGGCTGAGCCACCTGAAATTTTATTCACTGCTTTAAATATTTATTTCTGCTACCGGTCGGCTGAGCCGCCTTAATTTTATGTACTGCTTTAGATATTTATTTCTGTTGCCGGTCGGCTGAGCCGCCTTAATTTTATGCACTGCTTTAAATATTTATTTCTGCTACCGGTCGGCTGAGCCGCCACATATATATTTACTGTTTCTATGTGGATAATTCGTCACCATAATATCACTGTGAATTATTTGTTTATATTATAGTTTATTCACCTGTATAAATATTTTTATCTGAATCGATAATTTTTGTTTGATTGATCTCTAATTTTTCAGATTAATTTTTGTTTAAATCTTTTTCGCCAACGGTCTCAAAGAAAAATTTCAAAATTTTTTCAAAAAATTCAACTTTTTCCAACGGCTAGGAATAGTATTTTTCAATCTATAAATTCATTCATTTTCTCATTCATTTCATCAAAACAAAATTTTTTCATCTCTCTAAAAACTCTCTCCGAAAAAAGAAGAAGAATTTTGAAGTTTTGAAGTTTTGAAGAATGTTTCGATTATTCTTAATATTTGTTTTTGGAATCATTATTATGTGTATTTATAATCTTTGCGTTGTAGATTTTACTCCGCAAGAATTTCGTTTGAACATTAGTTTATTTGTTTGTACTCTTTTTCTTTTTGTAATCGCTTGCATTATTAATGTAAACGGTTTATTTTAAATATGTTTTAAAATAAATTAAATAAAGATTTCTAATAATATTCCATGTTTTTATTTTAGAAAACAAATGGCAAATATTGAGAAGCTTAAGTTTTCGGCTCTGCACATCACTTTGGCCAATTATATATTTTTTTGAATTGCCAACGTCGAATTACATTTACAATCTCTTGGCTTAATAAAAGAGAAAAATGACTCACCTGCCAATGAAAAGGCAAAGGCGATAATTTTTCTAAGAAAGCATCTAGATGAAAATCTGATGCATGATTATGCAAATGTAAAAGACCCCGTGGAGTTGTGGAAAGCTTTAAAAAATAGGTTTGACAACCAGAAAGCAATAACCCTCCCACATGCCCTTGACGAATGGGCAAATTTGAGGTTCCTAGATTTTAACAAGGTAGCACAGTATAATTCTACCATGTTAAGAATCGTGGCTCAATTGGAATACTGTGGTAAGAAAGTGAGCGAAGACGAAATGCTCAATAAAACCTACCTTACATTCCATAAGGAGCACTATGTTCTTGCAGAACAATACAGGAACTGCAAGTACAAAATGTTTTCCGAGCTGATTGTGGCGCTTATGATAGCAGAGAAGAATAATGAACTTCTCATCAAAAACCACAATGCTCGGCCTGCAGGAACCAAAGCATTCCCTGAAGTGAATGCAACGGATGTAAAAAATCCGGAGAAAAAGGATGTAAACTATCCCGAGAAAGGGAATCAATCATATCGGGGTCGTGGTGGTCGTTTTAATCGTGGGCGTGGAAGAAATTACAACTCACGTGGAAGGAGGTCGTTCAAATGGGTTCGTCCTCAAAATGATTCAAAAGGGAAGGAACACCAAGAAAATTCCACCCAGAAGAGTGAGAATGTGTGTTATAGATGTGGATCTAAGGGACATTGGGCCCGTACGTGTCGAACTCCTCCACATCTTTGTAAGTTGTACATGAATTCCACGAAAGGAAAAGGGAAAGAAGTCAATTTAGCAGAAAACTTCGAGGATACATCGTATCTCGATTCTCCCTCCTTTGCAAATGATTTGGATTAGACCGCTTTTGCGGTTAACTAAAGAGCTTGTATTGAGACTGCTGAAATAGTCTCTAGTTATGCCATATATATAATATTATATATATAATATTATGCTTTTGTTATTTTGAAAAATAATGTTGTTTTAACAACAATTTCATATATAATTATTGTGTGTTTTCCTTTCATGAATAAAATTTACTTTCATTTATCTTAATCACAGAAATGGATGAAACAATCTCCAAGGAAATGGCTCAAGAAATTTGCATACCAGATAGTGGGACAACACACACTATTCTAAAGGACAAAAGATATTTCTCTAACTTAAAACCGACAAACATGATTGTCAATACAATATCAGGTCCTGTAGACGTGATTGAAGGAACTGGTATGGCCAACTTTATGTTGCCTAATGGAACCAAGTTTTCCATAAAAAATGCCTTGTATTCTCCAAAATCTAAAAGGAATTTGTTGAGTTTCAAAGACATATACCTTCAAGGATATGATACTCAGTCTGCAACTGAGAATGAAAAGAAGTATATGTACATAACTTCTGATAAATCGGGAAAAATGCTTATATTGGAAAAATTTCCAAAACTTCCTTCAGGATTGCATTATACTCATATAAGTGCAATCGAATCGCATCTAGTGATTAAAAGAAATCCAGAAGATTTCACATTATGGCATGATCGCCTCGGTCATCCAGGCACCTCGATGATGCGAAAAATCATAGAGAGCTCACATGGACACCCATTGAAAATCCAGGAGATATATCATGGGAATAAAAAGACATGTGCTGCATGTTCTCTTGGAAAACTTATCATAAGGCCATCGCCAGCCAAAATTGATAAAGAATCACCAAAATTCCTTGAACGAATTCAAGGAGATATTTGTGGACCAATACATCCACCATGTGGACCATTCCACTATTTCATGGTATTAATTGACGCATCCAGCAGATGGTCACATGTTTGTCTATTATCATCTCGAAATATTGTATTTGCGAGATTTCTAACTCAAATAATCAAACTGAGGGCTCAGTTTTCTGATTACCCTATTAAAAGAGTTAGACTAGACAACGCTGGTGAATTCACATCCCAAGCATTCAATGATTATTGTATGGTAACAGGAATTGAAGTTGAACATCCTGTAGCTCATGTTCATACACAAAATGGCTTGGCGGAATCATTAATTAAACGTCTGCAATTGATTGCAAGACCATTGATCATGAGATCAAAACTCCCAACCTCTGTATGGGGACACGCTATTTTGCATGCTGAAGCACTTATCCGAATGAGACCAAGTGCATATCATAAATATTCCCCATTACAACTAGTATTTGGTCGTGAACCAAATATTTCTCATCTAAAGATTTTTGGTTGTGCGGTATATGTGCCTGTAGCACCGCCACAACGTACAAAGATGGGACCCCAACGAAGGTTAGGGATATATGTGGGTTATGATTCTCCATCTATTATAAGGTATTTAGAACCTTGGTGACCTCTTTACGGCACGCTTTGCTGACTGTCATTTTGATGAAAAAGAGTTCCCAGTTCTAGGGGGAGAAAACAAACAAGTAGGAAAGAATATAAAGTGGAGTGTACCATCTTTGTTACATCTTGATCCTCCTACGAAACAGTCGGAACTGGAAGTTCGACGAATTATGCATTTACAAAGTATAGCAAATCAATTACCTGATGCTTTTGCAGATACTAAAACGATAACCAAATCACATATTCCAGCTGCAAATGTTCCTGCTCGGATTGAAATTCCACAAGAACATGGAAAAGCAGACGATACACGTGAGTCTAGAACACGCCTGAAGCGTGGTAGACCAGTTGGTTCTAAGGATAAAAATCCTAGAAAGCGAAAGGAAGCTGAAAAGCTCGATATTCCCAAAATAGCAGAAAGCATTTTGGAAGAAACGAATCATGAGTCTAATGACAATGATGAGCATCATGAGCCTGAAGGAAATCATGAGATTTCTATCAACTATATCCATAATGGAAAGATCTGGGATCGAAATAAAATGGATGAAGTCGATGACGTTTTCTCATACCTCGTAGCAAAAGAAATAAATGAGGAAAACGAAGATCCAGAACCACAGTCTGTATATGAATGTCAAAAGAGACACGACTGGATAAAATGGAAGGATGCCATCCAAGTCGAACTTGATTCACTTAATAAGCGAAATGTATTCGGACCTATTATACTCACACCTGAAGATGTGAGACCGGTTGGATACAAGTGGGTTTTCGTTAGAAAACGAAATGAGAAAAATGAAATTACGAGATACAAGGCTCGTCTCGTAGCTCAAGGATTTTCTCAAAGACCCGGGATTGATTATGAGGAAACATATTCCCCCGTTATGGATGCAATAACGTTTAGATTCTTGATGAGTCTAGCGGCTGATAAAAATTTAGAAATGCGTCTCATGGATGTTGTTACAGCATATTTGTATGGATCATTAGATACAGATATCTATATGAGAGTTCCCGACGGGTTTAATATGCCAGAAGCATTGAAATCTAAACCCAAAAAGTTATGTGCAATAAAGTTGCAAAGATCATTATATGGGTTAAAGCAATCTGGGCGAAT